CTTCGGAATTCTTATTCCCTAATGATTGGTTGATTGGAATTTACAGAGTTATTCGACTGTCGCAGTGACCTGGAGATTTTTAGCAGTAATGAGACATCTAATGAAAACATCAGCATTCATTTTAAACTGAGGTATTCCGATACCTATACGGTAATAGTTGGTATTGTATTTACTTGAGATTCTTTGGTGGTTCGGAGAAATGCATAGTACAGGTAGTTTCGTACATCTAATACCGAACAAACTAGCAAGCCTTATGTAGAGCGCACAGTCTGGGGGTGTGTGTGACGGCGGATCGGTATTATTCCAGACCACGGTCGCTTATAAAGCCACCTGTGTGAAGTCCTAAGCGGCCGAACCGCCCCTTTGAAGCGTATAAAATACCATCGTATGTCAAGTTTAGTAGGTAGACCGACCAAATTAGTTCTGGACCAAGTTTCTTCCAAAGAGAAACATTATGGATGACATTTCCGCTCAGGTTTGTTGTGCTGTCAGGGTTATGGCTAGCCTTTGAAGATGTCTCGTTAGCTAGTCGCCATGAGGACTCGAGTGTACCAGGAATTTGGCGGGTCAGTTTCCTACATTTCCTAATTCTTGGCCCTATTGATAGAAGGCAAGGGAAAACTTGCTTATTGACCATCCTTTCGTGAGGGCGATCCTCTGAGTGAAGTGCACACGAGCTTTATATTTCATATGACCGTTCGACCTCGCTGTAAAAGGTTGAGGGATACATCTCAGAACAACTGCGGTTGGTTAGACACACTCTTAAACGGTTCTGAAAGGGTCGATTTTTCACTGGAAGCGATGCAGAGATCAGCTGGAAACGTTCCTCGACACAGTCCGCCAGGATGTAGATTTACTTGCTTTACCTCGGGTATTTCATCTTCGCCGATGAAGGCTGGCGGGTAAAGCTCACCGTGTCCGCACTTTCCACCTCCACCCAACAAGTCGTCGACGGTAAGGTCACTGTGTAGTCATCATTTAACCACTCCAAACATTTTCCCACTTAAAAGGATATTTGACTATGTTGGTCATAGTTTCATGCATTTTGATACATGTCTTGCTTTTGTTACCAGATAGCGCTGCATATTTCTAATGTTTTACGGAATTCGGTCTTTTCCTGTGTTTCCAGAAGCCATAAGCGGCGGCTCCAGCCTCGTTATGGTAAATGTATTCGGAAGCATCAAGTTTGACGGAAATCCCTCCAAGACCTTCTCCGAGACATTTTTCCTAATTCAGGACAATAGTCTCTGGCGGGTGCAGTCAGACACCTTCAGATTCATCGAATGAGCATCATGCTCCAGTTCAGGCGAACGTGTTGTATTTACGTGGTTCAGACATGTTTTGCAATTTTGTATCTATTGTGCCTATTCATTTGCTGCGCCAAATGTCGAATTGTGCAGATCTTATTTTAATGCGTGTGCCATAAACTTTGTCAGATTTCAAGAACTTCATCTGCTTACTTTCCTGTAAAACTATCACTGACAACTACTGAATGACAGGAAACCAAAGCGCACGGTTAGAAGCATGCTACTGGGGGACTGGTGCACTCGACCTAATCGTTCCTCCTAGTGCCAGATCTTTTGAGACCGCTTAACCGGCCGGCGCAATTATCCGGGGTCTCAGTGAAGAACCCTTGAGTAAGGGCTTTCTCGCCTCGTTTCCGTTCTTGGGGTGTCCTTCGAGCGACACTTATTGCCCTCGTAATTTAACTTGCTGTCTTGTCATCGGTGTGCCTATGGGATATGTCTGACCTCGCGCCTGGCGATATAAATTTTATTTGGTCCAGCGGGGCAACTTTACCGTCTAGCGTAAAATCTTCCCTTGTCTTCTTTGTTGTCTGTGAGCGATAAGCGTGAATTTGCGACCACCGTTAGGTTTAGCCAATCAACGAACACCAAATGCGCGATAGAAACGCAAAAACTGCGCTCGTTGGCCCTCAAGTGCGTTGTGTCGTAAAATTCACTACCCTTGCGACCGTGTCGCGTTTGATATTGATGAGGGGCAATTATCGGGCCAATCAAGCGAAGCGTTGTCCCAGATAGGTTGGGTGAGTTAGCGATAATGCATGAGATGTGACTTTGTTCTCGAACACTGAATAACTTAATTTGTCGCTGGCCTAACGGGAGTTTACTACGCAAAACCTTTAGGTTTTAAGCATTGCACCGCATTCCCTGTAGAGGTAATTGCCAGAGATCTGATTTATCGTGGGCTCGTGAGATGTCCTCGAAGTTTTATTCAATCAGTGGGTTTGCAAGCATGCTCACGCGGTCTATAGTTGGACTTAATTTATAAAATTTAGTTCTTTAATATTAGACCCTCTTCGGTT